AAGTAAATATCGTGAATAAATTTGACATTAAACAAAATCCAAGTTGAAGTGTTACATCATTTTCAGCCCCCTTGTTGGCATCTGCATTTGGTAGCAGTTCAATTTGACAAAGACAATGCAGAATAATGTAGTATTTTATGTAGTAGTTTATTTCCACAGCAGAGAAAGCTAGTAGTCTCTGTAAGTAGGTCTAGGGGAAAAATATCAGTATTGGTATCAGCTATTGGCCGAATAAGTTTTAACTTATTGGCATATCGGACATGGGTCAAAAATCCAATATCGTGCATCCCTAATATTTTGCCAATATGTTTTCCTCTGACATCAGGTGTGTGCCATTCCTCAACTCAGACAATGTGGACAGCAGCACAAATATGAACTACATGACGTATCATGCTCATTTTCCAGCTCAGGTGTCAAAGCTGTGTATGTGATAATGATGAGTGTTTCCAAGAGAGGAAGAGGAACAGCGTCCCTGGGGCGATTTGGCAACACGAAGCAGGTCACTCTTCCAGGCGGCCATTTTTTAATCGACAGAGAGACAGTGACTAAGTGCAGGGTCAGAAACTGTCAATTTATTTTAGCGCCTTCAGGATAAATATTCAGTTACAGCTGACAAGTGTTTTGATACTTTATATCTGACCTCCAATGGGACCGGATACTGTTTATAGAAGGCATAAAGCTCGCTTAAATTAATGTATAACTCATAAATATACTTCAGAAATGTGATGGAAATTTTACTATTTCTTTACAGAGAGAGATCAGTGTTGCACTGCAACATGCCCATAGTTATTTCCAGCTATTTCTTTAATCATATTTATACAGTAAATTCAAGCTTTCTTGAACTTAAATCCACAGAAATAAGGCACTTGCAATTGATCTTGATGTTTTTATTCATGAGTTGTTACATGACTGATGTCTTCGCTAGTCAATTACAAGGAAAATTTCCAGTCTACACACCTGCAGGGCATTTATGAAAGCTCACAGCTTGATTTATTCTCATCATACATTTAGTTTATTCCAGCATGACAGCTTCTTTACATTACAAAGTGACTTTTTCTACATTAAAGCCATATTATCAAGTTAGATCAGTGTGTGCATCCCAGACTGTTGTATTCAACAGTGATATATCTGTGTTGCACCCATCCTCCCTCCGCCTCCCCTCCGCTCCCCCGGGTGGAGCCCACAGAGACATAAGGCTGCTAATTGTAAGCCTGAACACTTGGTGTTAAAACCATAACACTGGATGACAGATAGCCTGTGACGGAAACAAATGCAGGGGATAGAACACGTCAGAGAAATCTTTCATGAATCCAGTGGTGATTTTAGTCACTTTTGGGGGGG